ATTAAGTAATAATATATCAATCAGCATTCTTAAACTTAATTTAGTTGATTTTAATGATGATGATTGTAATTTGTCATAATTTTGCAATAAACATTCAATAAAATCATCAAGATTTTGCTGTCTTTTTAACAGATACATCATTGGTGTGAGACAATTATTAATAAATAAAGAAAAGCTTTTTTGAGAAGCATAATCATTAATAATCTTATATAAAACATCATTTAATTTTTTATCAATATACACTAATTCTCCAGTATCAACTAAATGAGATAATTTCAATTTATCATCCTCATTGATACATTTCATAATTATTTTACATTCATCATTTCTTGATTCTTCATCTATATTTGTTTTTGTCTCTGAGTTTAGCTGTATTTTATTTAAACTTGAAGATATTGTTCCCATATATGAGTTATTTGAACTTTGATTTGATGAAAAAGTTGATGTAATTGTTGTACTTGGTTGTGATGATACTGATGATAATAGTGATGATGAATTGAAAAGTGATGGATTTGTTGAATTAGTATTAGATAATACATCAGCAGGTATGGGTAATTTGTTTTGTTTTAAATAATCAATTAATTTTTCGAGTAGTTTTTTAAACTTTTTTGATGCTATTTCATCTACAACTTTTTTATTATGTAATCCTTTCCACCATCCATCATTAGCAACACAAGTTAAAGCTATTTTAATTGTATTCGCTCGTCTAATGCCAATATCAGGATCTTCAAATAAAGTTTTCAATGATTTACAATAATAATCTTGTAAAGCTAAATATAATGGACTTTCATCACTGGTTAACTGTTCTTCCTTCACATTTGAAGAAATCTCTTCTGAATATTGTTCAATACCTTGCCGACCGTAAGTTATTAATGTTTCCCATATTTCATCGATAGTTGGTGTTTCATAAAGACGTTTATCATCAAATTCAAATAGAAACTGAATAACTAAAGATAATAAAATATTTTCTTTGAGAAACTTTGATCCATAATCTGCCGTTCGTATTAAAACTTGATGATAGATATCAGGCGAGGTTTTCTTTTGTTGTCGAAGATATTGTTGAAACCATTCAGGAGTGTTTCTATACCATTCTTGTTCAATATAACATTTTAAGAATTTTAAAACTTCGCTTTGGCTTCCATCAACTTCTTCACGTAGTATTCGTGGTGGAAAATCTTGGTCATGATCATGTAAAGCCTGTCGTCCATCGGTAATTGATTTTTCCACGATTTGTTTTGATTTATCAGAATCATCTAATTCAAGAATATCACAGATTTTCAATATACATTCCTGTTTTGTTAATATCGAAGATGAACTATTATTCGTCATTGAATCAATATTAAGTGATATTTGAGATGGAGATAATACTTTCCATTCGTTTGGTCGACTTTGAGGCATTGCCAATAGATGATACTTATCTAAAATAATAAAAAGATCTTTTACTTAAACTTGGTTATGTTCGAAGAATTCTCATATTAAATAGAAAAATAGAAGTGATTCAATCATAGAAGGATGTCAGATTCGTGAAATAGTTGCTGTGAATGTGTGGTGTGTTTCAAAACTAAAAGTATATCACTTTTACGCAAAAGTATCGGGTATTTATACCTAAAATTTAGGCAAGAAATGGAATATACCAAATATAGTCAAAATTCATTTGGAATATACCAATAAGCTGTTATATGATAGAAAGAAAAGAAACAACGATAGGAAAAATATCCTTGCAGACAGCGAAGGAGATCGATATGGATAGCATTATGTATATTAAGTGAAAGAAACAAAACAAACAAACAAACATTTATAAAATACAATATAATTCTCTCTCATGACGCATATTTAATATGAGAGAAAATAGACAGATATGTTCGAAACTATCTTATTATACACTTTTATCGTAATACGTCTATACCGTTCGCTTCAAAACATAGGCAGATGAAATGAAAGAAATACTGATTTAATCTTAATGCATTTGTTTTTATTCGTCACCTTTCTTCGTCGAGATTGTGTCGAGAATACAAAACGAAATAAAATTGCCGACTGATCATATATAAAGCCTTTCTACATTACACAATTGATGACGAGATAAAGAAATCGTCGTCCGTGAGGATTTTTCCCACCAAAGAATAAAAGCAGGGAAAAAACACAACATAGTCGTATCTGATTTTTTTCTTTTCTTCATATTTATCTTTGTTCATTAGGTATCTGTTAAGATATTCGTTTATGGACGATCTTCGTCCTTCTTATATTTAATCTGACTAAATCTTTTCGTGCACATATATTTCATAGAACAAGATCAGAAGAAGGATGAGAAATAAATAAAAGAGAGATCAGAGGGCGATGTCGCTACTTAGCGACACGCCTTAACAGTATCTATTTCACGGTTTTCTCCAGCGATGAGTGAATATAAAAAGTATTTGAGAATGATCTTTGCCAAAACTTTAACCTCCCTTCAAAAAACAGGGTGAAACTATAATATAGAAGATATCAAAATGAATATGCATGTGCTTATAAGGATATACTTATGGTCTTAATTCAATAGATATTGATGCTTATTATATATAATCGAATTCTCACGAAGAACAAAAATAAGAGAAAAAAATCGAGTATCATTACATGACTTAGGTCGTATTGAGTTAAATAAATCAAGCTCTTTTTTTGTCGTTAAACGAGCATGATTTGTCTTGGGACCCAACAATATTAAAACGTTTTCAATGATTATAAGAATAGCAGAAGACTTTGTGATATCAAATTAAGTCTTCGATTGGTGATCATAGTACAAAATAATATATATATATTATAGAATGATCCTATTGAAGGTTCATCAACGCATGTCTTGTCCATTATTCGTAGATACACACATAGCTAAAAACCAATGGAAAGTATATAAACTGTGATATATACATCCCTAAGCTATTACTTGACTAATAATTATTCGAAATGCACAAACTATTTAAAACCCTCTCGGATTTTTACTAGAATTAGTTTTGTACTTATAAATTATGAATTAGGAATTGAAAATAGCCAAAAAGTTTGAATCTAGTTGAACAACGCTAAGGGAAAGAAAACTTAGCAAAAGTTACTATAAGAAACTTAATTTTCATTGATTCTTATACAATCCTAAGATGAAAACAGTATCTGGCATTATTGCACAGATAGCAAAGTAATAGCTTATTCAACCTCAATTAACATGTGGTTTAACAAATTATAGTTCTTTATTTTATTGAAGATTTTTTTGAAACAATCGACAGTCTTTTCACCTTCACGTGGTTTCCATCGTTCACGAACTATCCATCATAAATTATTTGCCAACAGTTCTTAAGATAAACACAGGAATACTATACAGAAGAGTGATTCGTATATGATTGATATGACCTATCTGTAATGATCAGGCACGTGATTTTTGATGTATTTTAAATAGGTTAATTATAAATCATCTGATATCAGTTGCGTATACTGAACATGAATTATTAAAGACTAGTATTCATGAATATAGATTCTAACTAAAATTTTGCTTCATGTATTTTTTAAATCAAAGAGTCTTGAACGTAGATAAAAGCGTTACTGTGCGTCACAAGTATTGTATTGGAAATTATTCGAACTCTTTTTTTTTAATGAAATATGGAAATAATTAGAAACATGAGATTTACAATTGCTCGATGATCATCGTTGACTTCATATTCATCCATATGTTATTATTTATATGACAGAAGAGTGCATTAATATAATGTCATATTTACCATAGGCTTGATACTATATGCAGTTCTTAACTAATTAATTTTATCGAACGTAGTTTAGGTAGTTGAATAAATGAAAAAAGTATAGCTCATACAATTTTCAACATAATTACAAATTTTGAGATAAAGATTAAAAAAAGCTTTTAACAAACTATTAGAAAAGATAGAACTTTATATAAATAATAATGGCAACTGTTCTGAATATTGGACAAAAATAACAGTAAAAATATCTCCTTATCTTTATATTTTCAGTCAACATTAACAGAACTAGACATGTATCGAACACTGAACTTGAGTTTGACTCTGGTGCATATATAATCAGACCTTTTAGCCAATCCTAAGTATCTTTTTCCATGCATTTTTTAACGAAATACATTACGATCATTGGTAAATTTCACCTATAACTTCAATTCATTAGTTTGGCTCATCTATTTAACTACTATCATAAGAACCGTATACTGCTTTTTATTTATTTATCTTTACAATCAAATCTCAGTCGATTCGGTCTTTCTCCTGAAAATGGTAATACTAGATAATGATTAGCATAATCAATTACCAATGATAATTTTCTGTTCATCTCTTTATGAAGATTAGTCTTTATTTCGATCATCTTTTACTTTGAATGGATCTTCTATTTTTTCTACTCTCTTGATTTAAAATTTATTTTAAAAATAAAACTAGAAGAAAAAGATGTTATTTCAGTAATCACGATTAAAATAAACTTTATAATATCGAAGTCTATTAATTATAATTTAGTTGTTGTTCTTCTTTTCTTCGCTGAATATTTGTCGCTGTTTGAACATTAGTTGTTGTTTGATCATATTCTTTCATATTTTTATAACCTGATTGTTTTTCTTTATGATTTGCTATTTCATCTTGTTTGAGTTTTTTCTTCTCAGTAGCTCGATAAATTTCTACTTCGCAATGATTGATCTCTTTTTGATTATTAGTTATTCGAATTTCAAGATCATCTTGTACATCTTGACCTGCATGTAATTCATTAAGATTATTATTTTGTCGAGTATTTACTTCATCATATTGTTTTTGAAGATTATTACTATTCGTTACTAATTCTTGTAGACTTTGTTCAGCAATATTGTAGTTAGTTTTTAATATTTTCAGTTGATTTTCTGTTTTATTTTTGGATTGTTCATGTTCTTTAATATTTTGCAAGATTGGTTTGATTTTAAGTTTTACATGTTCCATCTTTTCATTATTTTTTTCGATAGAACTATTTAAAATAGTTTGATTGGTTTCATATTGTTGTTTTTGTAGACTTTCTAATTCGATTTTATTTTGATGTTGATCTAATTCATATTGATATTGATTTTGATATTTTTGTTGATTGATTAATTGTTGATGTTTTGTTTGTAAATTTTGATCTAATGTTTTTCGAAGATTTTCTTGTGTTTCAATATCTTTATTTAAATCATTTAATTTTTGTTTAGTTTGTTCATATCCTTGGTGTAATTTTAGTTTTTCTTTATTTATTTTTCCATGTCGATGTTTCTCTTCACGAAGATCTGATTGAAGTTCAACAACTGATTTATCTATCATCAATAATTCTGCTTTAATATTTTTTATTTGATTCGCTATTGGATGTTCTTCTCGTTGTTTAACAGTTAATGTTTTTTCAGTATCATCAATTTCTTTTCGATTTTTTTCAATACTTTGTTCCAAACCAGTTTTCTCATCTTTAATAGTTTGTAATTGATTAACTTTATATTGCATTTCAGTTAATTTGACTTGATATTCATTCTGATATACTGTTTTTTCATTAGTAACTCGCTGATGATTTTCACGACACTTAGTTTGATTTTTTGTTAATCGATCGATATTTATCTTTAATGTATTGATTTTATTTTGTTGGCTATGAAGTTCAGTTTTATTCTGACGAATAATTTTGTTTTTTCCATTTTTATCTTGTTGAATGTTTTCACGTTGATCACGAAGATCTTTTGATTTTTTAGTAGCATTTTCAAAGACGAATTTTTGTTGATTCAGTTTATCTTTTGCTGTTACTACATCTTGTTTTCGATTGATTAAATCATTTTTTCTTGTTTCAAGATTGGTTCTATGAACACTTAATGTTTCTTCAGACTTCTTCCGATCTTGTTGAGCAGTTTCATGTTCGTTCGATCGTTTTACCAGAAGTGCTTCCTTGTCTGCCAAGTTCTTTTGTGTTTGTCCTAATGCACGTTGAGCTATTGATACAGCTTTTTGTTTGATTAGTAGACATACAGCACCAATTAGAGGATTAACAACCATAGCTGCAATTATTAAAGTTAAAGCTAAATCAGCCATTTCTAAAGCTGCTTGAGCGATTTCTACTGCTACTTTCATCCTTTCTACTTCATATTCGGTTTCTTGACGAAGTCGACTAGCTTCTTGTTCTTTTTCTCGACAACGTTGTAGAAACTGTTCTTCCCGAACAATTTTTTGTTCTTGATTACGTAATTCAGCAGCAGCTCGATGTTCATTATGTTGAGATATTTTTAATTCGGATGAAAATTGTTGAAAAAGTTGTCTTTCACTTTCTAAATCTTGACTGGATGTTCTTAAATCAGTTTCAATACGATTTAATTGTTCTTCCATTGCTTTGAATTGTGTTTCTAATTCTTTTATTTGTTTAGTCTTTTCTTGAATTGTTCGTTCAATATTTTTATATTCTTGATCTCGATTTTGGAGTTGTTGATTAATTTCTTCTTCTTTAGTTGTTAATTGTTCACATTCTTGTTCTTTTTGAGATAATTTTTGTCTAAAATAAATATTGAATTATTGATTCTAGTCATTCTGAAAGTATACTCTAATAATTGGGGAATTTATTCCTTTACTTCGTTAGAGAATCTCATACAGAAATGATGAGTGACATACTTTGATTGTTCAGCAGCTTCTTTTGCTATTCGTAATTCTTTTTCTTCTTTCGATAATTTTTTCAATATCTCTTTTAATTGAGTTCTTAATGGTTCCAAGGATTTTTTTCTTTCTTCGATCTGTTCTACTAATTGTTTGATATCTCGAGCAATCTCAATTTGTTTTTCTTGAGTTTTCTTTAGTTGATCTTGTAGATTAGTACTCATTTGTTTTAATTCATCCGTTTGTTCTTGTTTGATTTTAATTATTTGTTCAATACGTTCGGTCAAATTTTTAATTCGAGTTAATTCAGCATCTAATCGATTTAATTCTCGTTCGATTTGTAATAATTTTTCTTTTAATATTTCAAGTTTTTCTGCTAAAATATTTAATTCTTCTTGCTTAAATATAATATCTTGAAGAATAACGTCTAACTCATGTTGAATACGTTCCATATCTGCTGCGCCAGTTACCAATAATTGTATTTTTTCTTGCATAGTTTTTTCCAATTGTTGAGTACGTTCTTGAATTTGTTGCATTTGCTGTTCAATGTCTTGTTTTTCAAATTCAATAGATTGTTTTTCTTGTTCTAAATTAAATTTTTGATTATCACATCTATTTCGTTCTTCTTCATATTGATATAATCTATCTAATTCATCATATAATTTTCTTTTATGTTCATCAAGATCTACTTCTTGTTTTTCAAGTTCTGTATTCATTTGATTTTGTTTTTCATCTGTTTCAGTTAATTCTCGATGAAAATTTTCCAATTGTTTTTGATCATTTTCAACTAATTTAAGTGTACTTTTCATACGTTTAACACATTGTTTTTCCTCAGCTTGTAAGTCTTTCTTTTCACTGCAGAATCTATCAAGATTATCGTTAAGACGACGATTCTTTTGATCTAATTTATCAATTTCATTATTAAAATTTCGTGGAGTTCTTCGTTCTAATTCTGAATCATCTATTTCTCGATACTTAGTTGAATTTGTCGTTGTTGATTGACGCATGATTGATTGAAATATCAATAAAATATCTAATAAATAAAAAATGAAAGGATAATACTACTATGTCAAGTCTTTTTTTTTTCGAGTGGCTTTGAAATATATTCACTCATCGTTGGAGAAAACCATGGAATAGATACCTAATAAACAAAGATAAATATGAAAAAAAGAAAAAAATCAGATACGACTATATTGTGTTTTTTTCCTGCTTTTATTCTTTGGTGGGAAAAATCCTCACAGACGACTATTTTTCTATCTCGTCATCATTTATGTAATGTAGAAAGGCTTTATATATGATCAGTCGGCAAATTTATTTCGTTTTGTATTCTCGACACAATCTCGACGAAGAAAGGTAAAGAATAAAAACAAATGCATTAAGATTGAATCAGTATTTCTTTCATTTCATCTGCCTATGTTTTGAAGTTAATGGTATAGATATGAGAGGAAAAACAGTTAATGAGCTTGAAATATTTTCTCAGAATGAAACAGAAGGACCAAGAGAAAATAAACAACAAAGGATTGATTCATAAGACAAAAAAAGAAGACTAGTGCATCGTACAGAGGTATATGTTTGACTCCATGGAACTTATAAAGATATTTTTATGATAAAAAGCATCATTTATTAGAACAAAACAGAAAGGCAAAGAAGTGGAGAAAAATAAATATATATACATCATCATGGTTTTTATAATGAGTGATAATTTGTTTTCCTCTGATAGTTGCATTAGTTGTTGGTGTACATTTTCTGCCTTTCTTCAAAAATTATTTTCACTGTTATTCTAAATTTCGCTTTGAAAGATTCAATTGCAGAATAGTCGTGCAAAAATAAAAAAAAACCCACTAAGTCGAGAGGCATATAAGGAATTCACTTTGTCAAATGATAAGTGTTTTCGTTTTTATTGAAAGCTTTAACGTCTATTCAATCTTCTATTTATCGTGAAGACTTAAGAATTGGTCAGTTGACATAAACAGTGGATTTTGAATGGTATTTCACTAATTAATTAGTTGTGATCTAGTGAATTATAAAATAAGAATTTTCCTTATCATCATCGAACGATTTCTATTTCGCACCGAGTTAATATTAGTAAATAGGCCATAGAATAAGAAAGAAATGAATAACAGGATCGAAAAAGGAAAATACCAAATAGGCATATATATATATGAAAGAAAAAAGGAAAATAACATATGATCATATATATGAAAGAATAGCGAACAAATAAGGTATTCGTTCGCTTACAATTGTTTTTTTTCGTGTTGAAACAAGCGTAATAGAAAGCCATCTATGGGATTGACAAGGGAACATATATGAGAGTCCTCTTGAAGATGAATTAAAACCCACTCTATTCCGAATTTTTTTCTTGAACGTTGCACATGTTATTTGGCTGTATGATTTTCTTTCGTTTTCATAGGATTTGTAAGAATGAGAAAACTTTTCGATTCATTAGCAATAGATAATACATAACGACGAACGGAAGGAAAACAAGCATAAAAGGTCTAGTTTCATTTGTTTATTGAATATTTTAGAAAAATAAATTTATTCTTTAAGATTCTATTTGATTCTTTTCTTCATTTTTTAGTTCTTCAATTTTTTTATTTGTGATTAATCATCGATTATTTCCAAAGATTTGTTGGATATCATCAACATGACTAGAGAAGAATCCGATCAAACTCCATCTCAGAGTCTTAACTCGGATAATAATCATGCTCATGTATCTTCATCTTGGATACGATTTCGTAATGACTGTAAATCTAACATTATTAGTATTCTAGGTTTAAATGGTGACACCGAATCTAAAAAAATTCCGGATAAATTGTTTTTTCAAGGAAGACAAGCATTATCTACTTGGGAAAACAAAATATTACCGAATATTTATCATCAACAAATGACTTCAGATCAGAGTGAATTATTTAAAATTTTAAAGAATTATCTTGATCGACAATGGAGTACAACCACTTATGATTGGTTTCAACGATTTGTTCATGAACAAAAGATAATTTCACCAAATATTTATGATCAACTCTTGACTCGTACTGTAGATAATGGATTAAAATTTCTTCAAGATAATTTTTATTTATCCTTAACTATTCGATTTCTCTTCGATGTCAAAGATCAAACTAAAATATGGGATATATTGACTACTCAGGGTCTTCAAGGTATTAAAAAATATCAAAATGATGTTACTTCGAAATTGAATGAAAAACTACTCGATAATAATCAACATGTTTTATATTTGGCTTTAGAGGATTACTTTCGTAAGCCATTGATCGATTTATTTAAACAAAGTAATCTGAATAATAATCAATCACGTTTTATTGAACTTGCACTAAATTGTGTTGTTAATAATGGATGGAATGGTTTAAATGACGAAAAAATTCGTGATGAAGTTTCACCAAATAATTTCAATAAATTAATCGAAAATTTACCATCCATTTCCAATACTTCTCCTGTTACATTTCCGACCATTAGTACTACTACTACTCAACAGCAATTAGTTCATCCTTCACCATCAACTGAACAACATATACAAAGAAATGAATCCGAAATGAAACCTAAGATAATGAACATAGTGAAAAATTTAAGTTCACCAAGTACCCCATCTAGTCCATTTGAAGTATTTAATACAAACGTGATATATGATGAATCGGGATATGATGTCGATTTGATTGTTCATCAAAAAAATGAATCACTTTTAACAACTCCGGATATTATTATTGAGGATAGAGATGAAGAAGAACCAACGGAAGCAAATGGAATTATTTCAAAATTTATGAATAAAAAAGAAAAACTACAATTATCTGATTTAGTTCAAGCTGGTGAATTCATATATATGAATAAAAATTTTAATCAAGTTATAAATAAAATAACTGAAGATTACAAATCCAATCAAAAATTCTCACTATTCATTAATTCTTGTTTTATTCCATTAATGTATTTACTCAAAAGACATCAAAATCTTGACGATTTTATTGATATGTTATTTTTAAAATATTTCAAAATTTCATCATCAGCACCATTAAGTTTAAGTTTAAGGATGTTAATCGATCTTTTATTACTTCGATCAGATTTATCATTATCACGAAAGATTCTATTATTATTAAGTAAACGAAATCCAATTCCATTTCTACAACCATCATTACGATTTGTTTCTGATATTATTCATATATGGAATTATTCAGTTCCGACTCTTTTATCATTTGGCATTGGTTCATGTCAAGGAAAATCTCTTCTACTTAATCAAATATTTTTATCTTCTTTTGAGCAATCAGTTTCAAGTCTTTATTTTGAAAATACAATTGATATTGATTTTGGATATAATTTTTTACCACGACGATCAATAAATATTGCTGATATTCATGGTTCAATAACAAAATTAATATTAGAAAAAGTTTATCAACTTTTCAATGGATTTCTTATTCATGTAGAATATTCATATATTCAAAATAATCTTCCTGTTATTCATGATCTATTAAATTTAGTTAATAATACTAAAAAATATCGATTATTAATTATTCGAGATGTTTTAAATCAAAACCAAGATCAATGTCGAAAATTTTTATTCAAAGAATTTCCTGATATTGAAATATTTATCCTACCAAATGTTTCTGATCATAATAAAAAAGAAAATAAAAGTTCTATTGTTTTATTACGTGATAAAATATTTGATCAAATACCAAAAGACTGTCTTAATCATCCAGGCTTTATGAAAAATGAATTATTACAATTAATTAATCCACAATATAAACAATATTTGATACAAATATCTCAAACTATAAAACCTTTAATAACTCATCTGTCTCATCTAATCAATAAACCCAAATTGGTATCAAACTATCTTCCTGAATATCTTAAATTTGTTAAATTATGTGAATTAAGATTAAAATTAACACATTTGAATTTTTATGGAAGTGATAATGATGCGATGATCTATGAACTTCGTCAACGAATTTTTCAATTAGAAAATATTCCTCAAACAAACCAGAGATTGCTTAGTATTATATATCAATTATTCTTCAAAGTTTTAACAGCATCAAATAGTTTAACCTGTTTAGATGCAATTAATACTGCATTAAGACAACAACGTATTCAATTAGTTTCAACAGGTGATATGGCTAAAGAATTACCTATTGAAAAAAATTTATCTTTAGAAGTTTTATGGCGTAATGCTATTGTTTGTAGTCAATATGAATCAGAAAATGATCAGAAATTTCTACAAGATAAATATTATCAATATATTAAAGCCGGTTATCCATTTGAAATTATTGATGGAGACAATTTCCATTTTCAACATTCATTTTTATTGAAATCTTTAACGCCTTTTCAAAATCGACGAACTTTAGTCATTAGTATCATTGGACCACAAAATTCTGGTAAAAGTACTTTATTAAATTACATGTTTGGTACATTATTCGATGTTCGTGATGGTCGATGTACTCGAGGTATTTATGGATCATTTGTTAAATCAAATCGATCTGATTATGATTATATTTTATTAATTGACACAGAAGGTTTATTAGGCATCGAAAGAGAAGATAAAGAATATGATCGTCGAATAGTTTTATTTTGTTTAGCTGTTTCACATATTGTGATTGTTAACATGGTTGGAGAAGTTAGTGCAACATTACAAGAAATGTTAAAGTTATGTGCTGATTCATTAGATAAAATTGGTGCAACAATAATTCCACGACCAATTGTTCATTTTATTTTAAATCAAAAAGCAGATTTAAATATTGATAACAATAAAGCAGCTATTGAAAAGATTATCAATGATTTGAAACGAGAAGGTCTAGATAAATCAATTGATATTCGAAAAGAAACATTTCATACACTTCCATCAGCATTTCAAAAAGAAGGACAAACATTAATATGGAAAAAAACATCATTGACTCAAATAAAAACAGCACCAGAATTTATTGAAAATGTTCAATTATTATTTGGAAGAATTTTTAATTCAATTCAGTTAACAGATATATCTGATCCTCTTCAATGGTTATCATCATCAGTAACAATATTTGAAACATTACAAAAATTTTCTGATTTAACTTATTATCGAAATATTCACGAACAACGTTTAGATAATCAAATACGTGAACATATTCGAGAAACATTATTGAAAATGTTTTCTATTGATTATCGTAATGAATTAATTCTTGAAACAACAAATAAGGATAAAGATGAAATTCAAAAACTTTTTCTTCACAAACAAAATCAGATTGAAAAACAAACTCAAAATGATCTCGAAGATTTATTTAAATTACTAAAAGTACCTGAATTACTTCGAAAACGGAATCAACAATTTCTTCATGTACAAATTATCGAAATGTTTCATACTATACAAATATCAGCTATTGAAAGCAATCGACGACTACAAGTTAGTTCGATTATTCATCATGCTGAAGAACAACTTCGACAATTAATGGAACATGTCATTCAAAGTGGAAGACTTATGTTATATGAAACTGCTGAACAAGAATTCGAGCGAATGTATCAAAATACAATTAAATTTGTTCGAGATGGATTCAGTCTAAATGAACGTCTTAAACAAGCTATGAAACATATTTATACAAATTATAATATTTATGAAAAAGAATGTTTAGTTGAATTTTCTTCAATTGATACTCATTCTTCATTGTTAACTGATCAAACATCGATTAATAATCCTGAAGATGTTTTTGTTTCATATTTTACTAAGTTAGCTTATCAAAAACCTTCCGTTACCGCACATCATTTTAATCCAACAGGAATACCAACTTATTCTCTTGATATTATCAATAGTCTCAATTATTTAAATCGAAACTTACTCGAACACGAATTTCGAACTTTTATCCATCAATCAAGTTCTCAAATAGGAAATAATAATAAATGTCAAGATACTGATCGAGAAAGATCAGTATATTCAATATCAAATTCTTCATCATGCTATCAGTCACGTGAACATCCAAATTTAACCTCTACTGATCAGTTTCAAATACAAATTAGACAAGCTATTGAAAATCAAAAACCAATGATGTTAGGAAGATCAGCTGCAGATGAACAACATATGTATTTAGGACTTTCAGGAATCATTCGAGAAATAATTCGACGAATAATACAAACAATACAAGGAGTAAACGGTGGTCAGGTACGACAAATTCGAACTGAATTAATACAAAAAATAGTTGGATCGATTAATACGTTAATTATTGAAATTAAAACAGAATTAAGTCCATTTTGTTTAGAATTATCTCGTCAGTTAAAATCAACATTACACACATGTGCTATTATATTATTAACAAGATATTATTATAATGAACAGATCAATCATTTCAACCAAATTTTAGCTAATTTCGAACGAAAAAAGTCAGATTTAAAAGAATATTTTATTACTAATGTGTGTTCTAATAGTTCAAGAGATAAAAATTATGCTATTAATCTTGCACAACAATTTAAAGATTATCTAATTCAATCATTATCAAACGATGGACAACAAATTATTACTCGAGGCTCTAAACAATATGAATGTCTTAATCGTAAATGGATACAAGATCGTCTTGATGGTCAATTAGAAGTAAATAATAACATGACCTGGTATTCTGATTATATATCAAATCCAACGAAAATTATTGAACAATTTTTTATTGAATTATGGACTAATGTGAAAAAGGAAATTGATCAAAATTTATCAGAACAAAAAGCATTTTATATAAAAATAATCAACGAATTTTTTTATTGTATTCAAGGTAATATTATTTTGATAGAGAATAGAAGATATATGTCATTTTTCTTTTTAATAGGTATGTTGGATAGTGTACGCCATTTAGGTGCACCGAACAAACTGATCGATAAAATATTTCAATCTAATGAAAGAAATGCATCGAACATCAATGATGATCTTAACGATAAAAATCAATGTATGGTTATGATATTATGTCAATATCTAACTGAACAAAGTATTCAGTTATCATTAACGGTGAATGGGACAGTTTATCATATTGGAAGAGATGCTTTTAATGCGTTTCAGTTGTTAGTTGAACAACGAAGGCCAAGTAATGAGTTAGCGAAAATAATTAAAGGAATTTCTTTGGTTTTCAAGAATATTTCTATTAGTAATTTGATAGCATTTCTTGAAGCTTTATTAACTGAAAGAGAAAAAACTCTTCATGATTTTAATCAAATTCCATGTAGTTTTGATCATATCGATCAACATGATACCTATGCACGATTATTAGATAAAGTTCGTGGATGTCCAGATCTTTGTCCATGTTGTCGACGACCTTGTGATGTTGATCATACACAAATTAAATCAAATCCTGGTTCATTACATAATGAACATCGTTGTCAATCTGGTCATAATTTACGTGCAATGAATGGTTATAAATTTGAAACAACTAATGAACCATCATTATTAATGTGTGAACAAATTAAAGATGATCAAATTATAGTTATTGGACCAAGACGTTATCAATGGTCAGATTTTAAACAAAATCATCCCAATTGGATATTTGAATCAATATTAAATGATGATGAATTAAATCGTTTACATGGCAAATTTTTAACTATTTGGAGAAAAATTGGAAAAGAAATTTGTGATAAATATCATATGAAATATGTTAAATATAATACATCATTAAATATTGTTCATGAATCATTTCATTACATTCTTTTGCTTGATGGATCAGGATCAATGAGTGGACAAAGATGGAAAGATTTAATGAATGCTGTACAACAATTTTTAATACGTCGCTCAGAATTAAATACATGTGATCGTATTTCAATTATTGTCTTTTCGAGTACTGCTAATATTATCTATTCAAATGAAGATATCCGAAACATTAATGTTAATAGTATTTGTTATCCAGGTGGTGATACATCGTTTCGTGATGCATTTGAATGTGTCAGTAACTGTATGACCTATTCAGAAAGACACGCAGCTCACCATTCTGTTCATCATAAATTTGCCATTGTTTTTATGAGTGATGGTGAAGGTTTATATCCAGATTATGAATTGAAACGTTTAATAAAAGAACATGGACCAGTGATCAAACGATTTTGGACTTTAGCATTGGGTATTAACCAAGTCTCTTCGTCGATGAATGTTTTAGAAAAAATTAATGAAAAAATGAATGGTTCTTTCATTGATATTGCAACATCAATAGATTTACTTAAAGCTTATGCAGAGGTCGCAAGTTTCAGTCAATAGTTTCATAATGAACTTATATTTATCTGCAACTTTTGTTATGGTACTTCGATGGAAATCTCCTCTCTATGAAACCTAATAACTTCTTATTACCATTTATTTATTTGATTAATACAGAATAAATCGTTCAAACTGTCTTGAGAATTTTTTGTCACTATTCTCTTTTTTTCTCATATTTAGATCTTTCAAAAATTATTTCATTCATATTCATTCTCAATTTAGCGAAGATTGTACTAACAAAAGCCAAATATTCTACTACCATTTATTCATATGTATAGGAAACATTATTACAGAACGTTAAGTAGACTCAATCAGTTCGATGATTGTTAATGGCTTCTGATCGTACAGTAGGTCAATTATGTAGTTTGTTTTATCTTTGCACTATTCAACACATCTATTACTAAAATCTGTGTTGATTATCATGCATATCCATTTTCGATGTGAAAGCTTTCATTGTGAAAAAGCTGTAGGTGCAATTCCTACTGGAGTAAAAATGTTAAATATCATCTAAAAGAAAGCTTGTTGAGGCTGTCTGCATCACGATCGGTGACAGTGTTTTCTACTATGTCGATCACAGTTTATGGAAGAGGACAGGACTATGGATCCAAATTTCTACTCCTAAACATTTCAACGTTCTTTTCGAATGTGTGCCACAAAGTTGATACAAGAGGAAAATTCGATAATTTAGTCTCATGTCGTCTCACCCAATTTTCAATCTTTAACTTTAACATTCAAGTATCGATCGTAATATAATATCAATACTTTCTGAAATCACCTATATCTAATCAATCAATACATGCACTGAATCGATCGATAAAAATGTGCCAATAAAAAAAGTATATTTTTTACCCATAAAAAATTTGAATAACAATAATCTAATTAAAGTACAGCAAATAGCTTAACTGATCGAAAATTAATTTAATATAATCGCAAATAATAAATATGAAATTATAATTTGAGGATGTGGGTAGAAGTATTATGCACCCACATCCGCCCGACACCTTCAAAAACTTCTTCTTAATAAAAAACATTGCACTGTAAAAGAAAGAAAGAATTCTTCCTAATAAAAACTATTTCTCTTTAGAAATAATATTATACTTTGAAGTAAAGTGTGTGCGCAAAACTAAGAATGATATATATATATTTCGTTCTTTCATGCCATTTCTTCTTAATATGTATTACTATTGAAAAGATGACAATATCGCTTACTGGCACTTTCATTTCCTTTTTTTTCCTTAAACACACACACATCTCCAGGATGGTTTTTGAAAATTTATGTTTTTGACCATTCAATGTCGTTACACAACTGAAACTTTCAGAAATAAAAGATCCTGATTAGATATACTTAGGGTGATCCAAAAGTTCCCGGAACTGCACTGTATCTCGTTAGAGAAACGACATTCTACTCATCTCTCTACACCACATATTGGAGTTAGTTATTGTGATATTCCATGGAAAGTTTCGTCCTTTTAACTCATTCTTCAGATATCTTTTAGAACTAAATATTACGTAATGAATTTACCTTCTTTGTTATTCCTTGAATTTGGATACTTTTTTGAGCCCTCAAAAACTTGAAAACGTTTCTCAGCGGCGAACAGATTTTATGTGATACTATTAGTATATATTAGACTAGCATGTATCATCAGAATATTGGATGAAAATTATTGTTAAAACTTGAGTCAACAAGAGAAAGTAGTCCTCGAACCGACATTTATTGTGAATAACGGCCAAAACAATGATATAGGTTACCTTCTTAATGACTTTTGAATCATGATCTGTCATCTAGTAGTTTCTATAGTGGATAGCAGTCCTATCAATATTAGTGATAGATGTTTAAATTCATAAATAAAAAAATTATCAAACAGAAACGTATCGGCATGGTTTAGTTCAATCAGTTCTTATCATGGATTTTTTCAACAACTTGCAAAATATTGTCATTATTAACAACAGAGTCAGAGGAACGAAGTTAAACTTTGCTGAACGTGTTCACCTTAGACTAGACTTCCACACTCTTAGTTGTTCAAATGTATTCAGCATAGCCTGGATAAACGCCAGCTACAACAATTTAGTAGAGGGCATAACCAAGGAGGCACATTGAATACCTAGTACCTACTTCTAAAAGATATCTGAAGAATGAGTTAAAAGGACGAAACTTTCCATGGAATATCACAATAACTAACTCCAATATGTGGTGTAGAGAGATGAGTAGAATGTCGTTTCTCTAACGAGATACAGTGCAGTTCCGGGAACTTTTGGATCACCCTAAGTATATGTGATAAAAATATCAGTTCTCTAAGCCAAGTAAAAGTATGAAAAACATCAATAACAAAATATTCTCAGTTATTACGAAACATCATTTGTTGACTTTTGAATCTAGACTTTTCTAGATATTGGATGACATGATATAGTTATAATTTTTATGCTACGAATAGAGTGTATCTCTAGGCATCTTTACAAATGAAAATCAAAAAACAAATAGTCGCTTGCAAAAAGAGATCTCAATACAAAAAAACTAAAATCTTCCTCTATTTATAACTTTGAAAATGAAATCAAAGTTATACATCTAGATTTTATCTACTTTCCTGTTAAGGAAAAATATAAATAATCACGCTGAGTTCTTTGATTATTTTATAGTAAACTAGCAAAGCATATATAATTCAAAATGTAATAGTGTTGACGTTAAAACTAATTATTTATTCAAAAGGCTTTGGAATAAATAGAATAAAATCAGTATACTTAAAAATAAATTCAAATTCAAGGAGACATATTTAAAAGAAAATTACATTGCATGATGCTAATTGAAAACTAACAATTATTTATAAGATTTAAGCGATAGTTGAAGTAATGATTGTAATGTGACTTATAGCAGTAGTAGAAATCTAAAATAGGGAACTAGAAGTTTAGAAATGTTTGATAAACAGTAGTATCTAACTAACAAAAACTCTGATTTGTAATAATAAACAAGATTTTCATTGATAATTATATTTTTTAATAAATCTTTCAATGTTTTGGCATTTTTAAAAATATAAGTTTTCTCTTTCATAATTATTTTATATTCATTATTTGCTAAACTGATAAAGTGTATCTAACAGATGAAAAGATATTGTAGCATCTATGATAAAATAGTGTCGTTCATTAATATTTGTTCTCAATCGGAAATTGATAAAATCCATATGAAACAGCTTGTTTTCTTTTTGTAATTATTTACGTTATAAAAACGTTTTTAATCTTTTTGAGCAATTTAGAAATGGATGATTCTTTCTTGCAGTCATCCATTTATATATGAATCTCTTACATGAGCTATGATTCCATGTGAATTATTCATATTATGCAGCTGCAAGGCTTTGTATAGATTCATAATATCTGTTTATACATTAAATCGACATCACAACATCAAATATTCTTGGAAATATCTCGATTACATGTAAACAACTTCAGTTTTCACTTGAAAAATTCGATCTAATAACTTTTTTTTCTATTATATAAATTGTCATGAAAGTAAATTATTTTATTATTATTATTTGTGTTTAAAATATTTAGTTCAATTTCCTACGCATCAAAGGGCTCTTTTTTTTGATCGAGAAGAAATTGTGGACGGCACAACTAAATATTTTTATTTCTCATACGTCATTTTAATAATAATTGAATTTTTAGTTGTCAGGTATTTTTTCTTTATATAATTACTTCTCATTGTTTTGTATGAAAAGTGAATGAACACTACTATTGACATTTTTCATACTTTTTTTTATAGATCCAACTTTGACCAACAGGGAAAATATGAAAGAGAGTTCTACTTTCACATACTATCATTTTCGATAAATGTATTTTTCGACATTTTTACCTACGGTCAAAGTTTCGAAAATCGATAGAAAAATTTCTAGCAAGTCGTTATATCCAAAATTTGACGGTTACGAATAGATACGATAATACTAATGCTTAAGTTAGAATCTTCTACGGCTAGGATAAAGTATTTGTAGGGACAACAGATATTGAATATTCTTTCAGAAAATGCTATGATAAGTTTTTTATACAGGATTTCATAAATATTAATATGGCTCATTGACCGAAAAGAGACGGATATGAAAGAAAAGATCACATATGCATAAATGAAGAAATAGATAACCTCTGTCGGACTCTAACTGACACATTCTGCTATCCGGACCGATGCTCTAAGCCAGTTATACTACCATCTTGAGGGTGTGGGTATGTGCGAGTCTCTTCATCACCCGCTCTCACTCATTCACAGCCTCAGTTGGAAAATACAATTCACTATTTGCTTTATTTTCAAATGTATCTCTCTCTTGTAGCATGGTTCCTCTTACAATGAATTAAAGCAAGCCTTAAAGCTGTTCTTCATCGTAGTGCTCGAAGTCAGCATTGTCGTACGACTATATTTAAAGAGAACAGGTTCTTGAATAATAATTGTAGTACTGAGTTTTACAATGATGATTTGGAAGCGCCTTTATGTATCGCTCTGCAAGTTTAACTTGTACGAAACCGATAACTCTTTAACAGTCAATGATCAATTATTATCAACTCGATTGTTCATTATTCTTCTGAATATCTCAGTTATCATTGTCACCTTGTTTGCTACGTTGAACCTACAGACACACGTCGTAAGTGTCACATCACCTTCGCTCGATCAATTTGAACGTCTGAACGATGAGTATCCGAATACTCTTGCTTGTCCTTGTTCACAAACCAATATTCGCTATGATCAATTTATGTCATTCGACCCGCGTTATCATCAACTGTGTTCAAGCCAATTTATCTCTCAACAATTCATTTCAACACTATTCAACATCAATATGTCTAGATTTCATCCGTTAGATTTTCGTCTGATGGCCATGTCCCAGTTTCAGATTCTGATATTGTTATGCCAAACAGCAACATGGACTATTAGTGGTGATCTCAATCAATTTCTGACTCAACAACTGGCTACCAGTCAAGCTCTATCACGTGAGGTATTCGAGGCTCAAGTTGTAGCACTTGTCGAACAAATGCAAACCACAACAGTAGCAAATGTGAAATACACTGATCAGCTGGTGTCCCTGGCTATTCTCAACAGTAGAATTATGTCAGCTTTGAATACCAATACTTACCTCACCAAGAATCCATTAGTATCGGGTTACTATATTCTACACGGAAGCTATCCAGTTGGAAATTATAGTATCAGTAACGTCTCGAATCTGAATAATATCTATTGCGATTGCACATACCAATCAAACTGCACTTTTCAAGCCGGTTTTTACAACTATTCCATTCGTCCTGCACACGGTCAAGCCAGTTTATATAAGCCCTCTCCACCACCTATATTTATCGTACCGGGTATGTTGGTTGGATGCCTACCTCATGATTCAATGCTTTTGTCGACACTGGAATGTTTTTACAATCGTTCATGTCTCGATCTCATTGGTGTCTCACAAGCGATCATCCCACTCAACGCGACTGTTCCATCTCGCTTTCGAGTCAATACAACCGTAAATACGATGTTCGAACAACTCTTCGTTGAAACGTGGCAAAATTCGAGTAATTTCACTAGTTACTACAATGCATGCCATCCGAAAACATGTTTTTACACCTATACACAACGTGGTAATTTTCTTTATGCACTGACAATTCTGGTCAGCCTCATAGGTGGTCTTACAACAATACTCGGTATTTTCGTTTCTCTTCTCGTACAATTCTTTCGTGGTCTACTACTTAAATGCCGAGGTGATACAATTCATATAGTAGAAAATGATCTTGCAGGTAGGCAACTTTTTTACTTTTGCTGTTTTGTTTCACATTTATGTAATGATATTGAGAACTTGTTTGATTTACTGTATTTTTGAACAAGAAACCGTGAGATTATTGAATTGTTTGAAAGACGACCTGTTGTTTGTTCAGATATTGACTTTTTTTTTATAAATGACAGAAGATGAAAACTGTTTAAACTGTTTCAGCACCAAGCATCGGAGAACGCCTTCTGACCTTCGTCCGTCAAATTCGTCAACTAATCAGCACATTTAACATTTTTGAAACTTCCTTTTCTACCGTGAATCTGGGAATTCAAACAACGCGTCTCTATATTTTTCTGACATTTATGGGTGCATTCATTCTCTTCAGTTATTCACTGTTGAGTGTAACTACGATCAGTGTTACCATACAACAGCCTTCTTTGGATACCTTCGAAAAACTGTACTCTCGATATTCGTCGACACTTGTATGTCCTTGCACTCGTCTTTCTGTAACCTATAGGGAGATAATGACTGTTACGCCTCATTTCCATCAAGTCTGCTCAAGTGATTTTATCCGAGATGATCGCTGGTTACTCTATTTCCAAACGACGGCACTCTACATAACAAATGTTTCGAACATTTTCACGTTCGATACTGGTGATTTTCGTTCTCCTTCCGGTTTAAGTCTGTTTAATCTAATAAAAACACTGTGTAACACAGCCAACACAACTGTTATTAATGCCGCAACTGCTTTCGGTGCCACAAAACTTGTGAATGTGTATCTGATGTCACATGTATTATTTGAAAGCAAGACGACAGAACTGGCACGACAATTTCAACAAGAAACACAAGCTTCTTTTTTGATTCTATTCTCTCAACTAAACAGGGCAATTCGAGATAATCAGTTCTACAGCTCCACAAGCGATGCAGCTGGTTTACTCGTCACGGCCGATCGTGCAAAACTTTGGTTGGTTATGGAGAACATATATCCTTCTGGATCTAACTGCTCATGTGCTATATCTAGCAAATGTAGTCGACCGCTAGGATTCTATTGCAGTGTTAGCTCATGCCATGCTCTCAACGCACAACCAAACATCACTGTACCAGGTATGTATGAGAGCTGTACACCCATAGACTCGTTACTACTCTCAACACTTGACTGTCTCTTCAACCAATCATGTATTCAGTTTCTGCTCGATTGGCGTTTATTCGACCTAAATGGTAGGATGTCACCGATCGATCCACGTGGAGCCAACACTACAGCACTTGATCCAGATTTACCCAGTCAGTTTTTACCCAATTCCACATTTGAACCACTAGTATTGAACATGTTTATCGAAAACTGGACATTATCCAATAATTATAGCACCTACTATACAACCTGTAACCCTGATAGTTGTACATACACATACGATCAACGATATGCTTTTGTTGCTGCCATTACAGTTCTCATTGGCTTATTAGGTGGGCTCAGTGTTGCACTAAGATTGATTCTGCCACCTTGTGTAAAACTAGTTGTGGGTATTTTTCATCGTTGCAAAGGCGTCGATAGATTAGGTAAGTTCATAAATTTATTATCTATACACTTCAATCTGTATCTCATTGTACGAGAAGCGAACCAGATATTTTTTTCTAGACTTGTATTCAGAATAAGGACAATTATCGTCATCTTATTATTTGTAGAATTACAGTAGTTTTGAACTTCGATTGTTATCGATCTTTAATATTGATCCATATGAGTGTAAAGAATATAAATCTATTTTCGTGGAAATGAGCTATCTCAGCAATTGTTGAAAAGATACAAGTATTTTTTCGATATTACGGTAGAAGATCTTTCGTTGTGCAATAGTGGACGGCAGAAAATATAGTCTAGACTCCTTCTACTATATAGTTTAGTAATTAAGATCAGTTGTTTTGAGTTTCGATGTAATCAATGGCTAACATTTGTGACATATTTCACTATTACTGCATGACCAGAAAAGGTTTATGCATGCTTCTAGCTATGAAATCCTTCCTAAGGACTAGTGCATGTTTATTTTGTTCTCTTTCAAACGTTTTTTTCCAGTAAAAATTCTGAATTCGAGAGCAGCTACAAATAGGAGAAACTGAATACAGCATATTCTATTCATGTTTACTAGAAGTATGTATGTAGAACAAATAGACGAATGAATATCAATGATGTAATCGACTCTAGGTCTTATAAAAACTGGCGGCATCCCTGAGTAAATATAGTATATTCGTACGTCTAGAATATGCCTGAATCTGAATGGCTAGAATGAATCCTATTTGACATCAGTTTCTTTGAAAGTATTAACAAAATGTTGCCCAATTACCAGCTGAGGAAGAAGATGTTTTAGCTTGACTACACTTCTATAATGTTAGTGCAATCACTTCACGACTGTAGTCCTTAGAAAGAATGTACATGCAACAAGAATCTCAAATGATCACACAGGTTAAAAAAAAGGAATTCCTGTGAGTATTACCTTCTTCGATACACAAAATCATTATAGTTTGGAAATCAATATTTTTAGGTAAATAATCAACTTCTTTGTTCATTTTAGATCAAGAAATCATTGAGCGCAACAATCAGCATTGCTTACTATTAGTCTATGCACGGAATACGTTGTTGAACATAGATGTTTTCAAGGATAATGTACCAGCGGACCATGAAATCGACACGAAAAAACCAAGTCGACTCTACATCATTTTGTTGTCTCTAGCCTTCGGTATTATCATTTTCTTCACAAGTTTTAGTCAACAAACACGCACTATCACAATTCTTTCGCCATCTCAAACAACATTTTCGTACCTACAAGATCAACAAAAGTCAAGTCTCTCATGTTTATGTTCACAGGCCTCTATTCAACATGAGGTATTCCTTTCGATTTCACCTCGTTTACATCAGGTATGTTCTAGCGACTTACTTGCAGAACCATGGTGGGGTTATCTGTGGGGGCTAGATGTTTTTAGCGATTTTCGCGATCTTAAACTTCTTAGCATTCAGTTTCGTATTCTTGCATCCGTATGCTCATTAGCACAGCAATCTATCGCGAATGACACAAGTGTATTTCTTACCAATAAACTAGTTACTCTAGAAGCAATGTCATTCAGTTCATTTCAAGCTCAAATTGATTCGCTCAAAGCCATATTTACTGCTCAAACACCAGATAAATTTCGCCGTACTCAGTTGTTTATTTATGAAACATTTCGTGCAAACCAGCTGCTGGTTGTACCTGAAACAAATTGGCAATTAGCTTTCACAACTGCGGCAGATAATTACGTTGTTGCCACTGTGCCACGTAATTCATTTGGGAATAATTACTCATGTATTACATCATTAGATAGCTTCTCACGACCATTGTATATCGATGCGAATTATAACACCACAGTATTACCTGGTGTGGTGGCTAGTTGTTTACCGATTGATGGTATTCGTCTGTCTACTCTAGAATGTTTCTTTGATTCAAAATGTATTCATAACTTGACAAGCATTGCATCGACACGCACTACCACTATTTGGATTGCCAAACCACTCAATGCTTCAACACCCAGTAATTATTCTTCGAACACTCTCATAGGCAACCTCGTCGATAGTTTATTCGTGGAAGATTGGGGAATTGTCAGTAATTATTCAAGCTACTTCGCCTCGTGTGCTCCATATTCGTGTTCATACCAATATATTGATCACAATACAATACTCTACGTAATCACCATTGTGCTTGGACTGTATGGTGGGTTGGCAGTGATTCTTCATTTTATTGTCTGGCGTGGATGGCGTATGTATCGAAAGATGATGGGATGGATACAAATCGCTACTCACTCAACATCAACACAAGTAGTTCCGTTTCAGCCAACCATCCATATCGAGTGAAAACTAAATCATGACTTTTAAAAACAGAACATTTGTTGTATTGCTTCTTGTCTCATCATTTCATCTTTCATCCATATTGCTTCTTGCCATTCATATTTCATCAATGTTGCTTCTTGTTTCATCACTTTTTATTTAATCAATAAATAAATGCTATAAAACTCAAATCGATTTCCTACTATTTGCCTACCTGATCGAAGTAATTAAAACAGAAAAAAGAACGTGAATAAAGGTGAAGAGTCACCTTGTTTCCAACATTGTTAGACCGTTAGAATCACGACATTAGCTATGATGAAGAGCTACCGGTACTGTTCGAATTTTTACACCTGCTTCAGTCTCTCGAGTACACTAACGTACAAGCGAATGTTAACAAGGAACAGATTATTAGCCATGCCGACAATCGCATCCATTCACCCCCACAGACAATCACTAAATCCACACCTATCTAGGTCATACAGACTCATATTGCTAATTGAGTATGTTATATAAAGTTGTTCATTATCATTTTTAATACATAAATCATAGTTCTGACTGCATATAAAAGTACAATATATGTTATTGTTTTTTTAAAGCTTTCTAGTTTTATTAAAGTAAACATTAGTTTATTCTCCATATAAGACATGATCATATAGTGTTAACACTTATACAACCGGGTCAATAATATGTCACACAAGCAGTTATAATTCGTTCCAGAAAGAAAAAAAGAAAAGAATAATGTTTAGAATAATAACAACAAACAGAGAGTGTCAATATACAATCAATTGTTTATTCTTGTTCGTCTTCTTTTTCCTAAAAATAAATTCAAATTCTAAATTATTTTCTATTTCACTTATGAATGTAATCTTACTTCAAGATCATCTTCTTCATCATTTTCTCCTCCACTACCTTCTTCTTCGTCATTTGTTGTTGCAGCCTAGTAAAAACAAATAAATTAAATTATTTTATTCAAAGTCAAAATCATTTTAATCTTCTTACTAAGTAATATTGAAGAGGATTGACAAATATATCATCTTTTATAACTTCACCAAATTCATCATTACTACCTTCGCCATTTGTATCTGTAAACCATGACATAAATGCTCCATGATCATTATTATTATTTTCTGTATCATGTGAGCGTTTACGTGTTTCACCGTCACTCTTCTTACTACTACTACTTGTTGATTGACCATTCTTTGCTTCCTATATACGAAAAATCAAAAAGAAAATGAATTTAGTCTATTTCATTTATTTAAAACTAGTTTACAAACATTTTTCCATCGAATTGCTGTTGATTTACATGTTGTTTCACTTGATTCAGTTACACTGAATTCTTTTACAATAACATCATTGTCAAAATATGGATTTGTATCGAATGTCTAATATGGAGTATATAAATAGTTGAAAACTATTTAAAGAATAGAATAAACTTACAAATTTAATACGATAACCTGATTTAATATCATCATGCTAGAAAAAGAAGAGTTGGAATTAAAATAAAACTATACTTAGAAAAACTTACTTCTTCGACATCGACACGTTTAAGATATTGTAGGATATTTTCATCATTTTGATCTAAACAACTTGAAAGTTGTGGATGATTAAGAAAAACACTAATCCAAAATGATGGAATTTTGCTAATTAAATCCGAACCTTAAAAAATTAGATATCATCTTTCTTTGATACATATAAAAAAGAGAATAATAACAAACGTTTTTTATAATTTGGTTGTCGAAGTTTATTATATTTTTGTTCAACTTGAAGAATTTCTTCACTTGCTTGTTCATTAAGACGATCAATTTCATTTTGAACATCACCAATTACTTCAAATGCTTTTTGCATTTCTGCTTCTATAAAAACCAAAATTTCACATTGTTTATATTAATATTAGAGCAAATAATAATATTAATTACCATCAAGTCTAATTTGTTTGGTATTTGGTGCTGACATGATGCAAGTCTATTCAAGAAAGAACAATATGATGATAATATGAAAAGTTATAAACAAAAGAAAGCAAAGCAAGTACTGTGTCTTTTATTCATATTATGTATGACATTGGCCAATAGCAACATTAACGGAATGACTTATACTTTCCTCTCTTCCATTTTTTCAGCCATTGCCGATTTGATGATAGCGACATCAGGTGAAAATATCAGACGGCAAATGTACGTGACCAAATTTTCCTAAATTCGATCTGAAAAATTGATATAAAAATCCTTTGTATTAAATAGTGAAAAAGTATCTACCATTTCTTGTTTAATTAATTCACTGGATGCAGAACATATTAATAGTGGAAATGTAAAGCAAACTCAAACTTGAATTCATATGTATAAAAGTTCAATCGCTTTCGAATATAACACAAATTGAACGGAGTATTGGAATACAAGAGTAAAAATTTGAACTCTCCTCTTTTGCTTCTCTAAGTACTATGATGAAACAACATCTCACTTATTTTTATTAGCAATATAGTGATTTAAAAAACTATAGGAAAATATTTATTCAATTTTGATCTATGAACTAAAATAAGTTTTGAATATCTATTTTAATGATACATTCTATATGGGGAATTATTAATCGGTCAGTAAAATAGATGAAATGATCAGTAAGATAAAAATGGTCGGTAAAAACTATGAAAATGAGCAGTAAAAATATTAAATGGTCAGTATTTAGATTATTGCTCTTGTAAACAGAAGACTAGCAAAAATCTGATTTTAATCGATCAAAATAGGGCACTGTTAATGAATTTCAGTATTTTTCACTTTTTAAATAAATGTCTACTAATTTTTTGAGATAAAAAGTCCAAAGAGATATCGAGCACCTCAAATCTCAGAAAAACGTATTTTATGATCACCGGTACTACAGTTCATTTTTATAAAATTACTTTATTTTAATTGCTAGTTTAATTGAAACATAGTGGAAATCAAAATCACTTTAACCCTCTTTTTAAATGAGTGATAATCGGAATACTGACCAACTAAGCTGTTTACTCCTCATTTTCATAGTTTTTACTGACCGAGTAAATGATAGCCATTCTATATCTTCAATATTTATCATTTATTACAATAAAGAGAATTCAGTATACATTAAAATGTTTCGCACATCATAACAGTTTTTAGAAATACTTCGTATTGTTTCTTTCGTTCATCAATAAATAAAAATCCAGTAGTCGGGTGAAGAAGTACGAGAAATCTGTGAATATAAAGTATAAAAATAGAAAATAATCAATCAAAATTATTATTAAAGTATTTTGAAGAATCTATATAAAACACAATGAAATTTGTTTCGACTTTTCTAATCATTAATAACTGTAACAAAAAAAGCGTATGTTCAATATTAAATAATATGCCCTTAGAGAAAATTTTAAATGTCTCTCTAGAGATTAATATTCTCGGTAAAGGTTTCAATGTTCACTAATAATTATGTTTCATTACAAACTATTTTACATATGAGTCCTTGCTAACATAGACAACCACCAAAAACTATTCATAATTATTGTTGTCAATTAACAAAAATTATTAAAAGAGAAAACATTCTATCTATATATATCATTGTCTAGGTTCGATTAGTAACAATGATTTTTTAATATATCAATGACATCCGAAATTTTGTATACATAGTACACAAAACAACAAATGTTTTACTTGTCGTATAGATTAAAGATTTATTTACTATTCACTGTACCTAGAACAAAACCGGAAATTGATTATATATTGTCAATTGTTCTATTTATTCACGTTAGTAAATGCAGCTAAACGAAAAAAACGGAAGAATAACATTGATGTATTCAAACATTTGAATATCTCTCTCTTCAATTGATCGTATAAATTATTCGAATTACATTTACATTAAAATTATCTACAATGAACACGAATAAATTTTTTTTTGCTTCTCTTTATTCATTCAAATTTTCTTCATCTTTGTTTTAACTATAACAATTATTTTTTTTGTCCTTGGACAATGTCTAATACTGTTTTTATTATAGATTGAGTTTTTTTCTTCTTCTTCACTAATCCAAAATGACGTCCGCTCTCCGGATTTAGATAGAATAATAAAAGGAAGTATTTTATAGAGAAAACAATTATTCCATTACAAAGAACAAAAATAATATCTTTATTTGATGATTGTCATATATAGCCATTTCACATGGTTAAACAATCATTTTTTAGAATGAACAAAAAGAAAAAAGGTCACTCATTCTCTTTTTTTCTTATTGAGAGACAGAGATTGTCATTTTACTCGCGTTCGTAGTAAACGAAGAAATTTTCTTTTCTTTCTTTTCTCTTGAAAGGTCCACCTATCTCTCGTTGTTCATTCTCCCGATTACAATCGACCACCGGTACCATAATTACCTTTTTCTCCTTTAAGTTCAACTAAAGACACACGCACATACACACATATATATATATGTTATATACGTGTACATGTATATATATATATACATATATATACCAGTCAACGTTAGTCTCGTCGATAGTTTCTATTGATTCTTTCTTTCTTTCAATGTTGGACAGTGATTGAATTACAGCATATTATTCTAGATGACATCATCATCTTCACGTCCATCGTATAAAGAAGCACAAGAACGTCTTTTGAAATGGTGCCAAAATATTACAAGAAATTATGAAGTAAGTCAAATACTAAAATAAACAATGAATCTACTTGAGAAAGATATTATATCTATTCTTGTTTATTTTGTAGTCAGTTAAAATACGTAATTTTACAACTGATTTTGCTGATGGTCTTGCTTTTTGTGCAATAGTTCATCATTATTTTCCTAATGAATTTGATTTTAAAACATTAAATCGTGATAATAAACAGAGTAATTTTGATTTAGCATTTCGTATTGCTGAGTAAGTAATACAATTTTTTTTTAAATTTATATCTTTTATTTATTTATCTATATATAGAGAAAAAGCACAAATTCATCCATTACTTGACAGTGATGATCTCATACATGGTGAATTGGATAAAAAATGTGTATTCACTTATTTACTTACTCTTTATCATGGATTAAAAAATTATGATACAAATAAACAACTACTAAACTAAAAAATAAAATAAATTTTATTTCCGTTTCTTCTTTTTGTTCTTTTTTGTCTTGTCTTTAATGTTTAAAGAAAAGTCCGCAATAAAAAGTCTATTATATCTCATAATAAATTTTCAATAGAAAACTCAATATGAAAAATCCAAGATTAATTAATTTTGGCGAATATTTATTTGCTGTATTGCATAAATCTGTTTGACAACAATAAACTCCATTATTAAGAATATTAACTGAATTACATGTTGATACTGAATCTTTAACAACAAGAGTTCCAGTTACTGTTTTCTATTTATATAAAAAAAAAGCTATGATTTTAATTCGAAATTATAAACAAACTTACACGACAATAATCATTGAGGCCTGATGTTTGAATTACATTAGCGGCCGATGGATTCCATGTTGTCCCACAAGGATTACATGAATAACATGATGATGCAGCATAAGTAGCTAATAGATAAATTAGAAATTCATTTTCTATAGATTAAATAATCTTACTATCGAAAGAAATTATGAATACAAGTAGAATAATTGGAAACATTGTCATCATCATCATCATCGATATCGTATTGATTAAACGACTAAGATTCGTTTTAAATTGAAGAAATGCTGTCTGACTCTTTCTTTTTCTTTTATAACATCAAATATACTTTTATATTAGACAAATATTAAGATGAAGTCAATAGTTCAACATAACTATCAAATATAATATACTCAATCAATATAATAAATGTAATTGTTTGTTATAGAAATAGTAGCATTTCTATCAATGTCATCCATTCAAGGTTATTCTATGTAATTTTTTAAAGTGTATAGATCATTCGTCTATTAAAAAGCATTGAATGGAGATGTTCCATAGAGAACTATACAAATATTAAGAACAAATAATTTTTTTTCCAGTATTAATTTTCAATTTATTATCTATCAGTTAGATGATGAAATGTATTTTGTTAGGTTTAAGAATCTATAATAAACATTCTTATACGATGAATGCCATTGTTTTTATCATTTGTGAATGCAAGAATAGTGATGAAATGTATGTCTGTAAAATATCTTTCAACCTATCATCACATTACTAATTATTTTCTATTGTTACTAATCTACAATCATCGGTTATTTTCATGGACAAGATGAATTGGTTTTTTAACATATGAGATATGTAAGAAATCATCAAAGCAAAACTTTATCAATCAACTTCGAAAAATTCAATCATCCATGCATATCATATACAAATGAATTTTTGTTTTATGCGTTCCTATATAAAGATGTTTTTTTATTCTCATCACCCAAGACTTAACTAGCAATCATAGAAGTTAAAAACAATAAAAAGACGACATCTCATTACATAGATAACAACAATAACACTGGTATGAGAATGAAGAAGAATAACAACAAAAGAAGAAGAAGAAAAAACTGTCTAAAATCTAGACAAAACACTTTTATAAACGGTTTTTAAATCTTATTTTTGTCCAGTCGAAAAAAGAAAAACAACAGCTGTTGATAAAACAACTGAAAATAAATAGTTAACTGTTGGTGAAAAATTTTTAAAGACAAAAAATGATAATATAATAAGACAAACAAGATAGAATGCATTATTATAAAAGATCGAAAAGGTTGTTGCTTCAAAATCGGCTACTTCGTTTTTACGTGTTAAAACTCTATTAAAAACGAAAATTATTATTTTGTACAATAAGAAAATATTATCTTACCGATCATCTTTATCTTTTTTATTTGCATTTTTATCGTTAGCGAAGAGTTTTGAAATTTCACGGTTAACAGCTTCTTCACGTTTTTGTGCAATTCTATAATAACATTTTTTTTGTTAAAAATAATAATACAAAATAAAATAAATACGAACTTATGTTTTAAAATAAATTTCATATTTTGATAGGCTAAATTAAGAAAGTATGTACTAGCAATGGTACCAAGAATAAAATGAATAAAATATGATGAAAAATCCATTTGATGAATACGCCAGAAAAGCCCTGAGAAAATAAAAAGGAATTTCTTTAATTTGAAAAAAATAATAACTTACAAAGTGGAATAGCTGATACAACAGCGGCATTACCACTGAATAAAGCCCGTGATTTTGTTGTTACATTACGACTAAAATTTTGAAGAAGTAAATCTTCATCATGAGATGTTGATCGTTGGTTAGACATTTTCTGGTATCTACAAATAATGAATTCTACAGTTTAACATACCAATAGATGGATAAAAACGAGGAAAATGAAAGTGGTCTAAAGAAATAATATGAAAATGGTAAAAAACTGATCACATACAACGTTGAAATCCAGATCTAGCCACGTCTTGCCATAGTTAAATTAATCAAGTCTCCAATCATTTTCAAATCATATACGTATGTTAATATAAATAAATAAGAATTCAATTATAAAATTTTGTTTTTTAGTTTGCCGTTATTAATATGTTCATAAAAAGCACTGTAGTTTATTTTCGTCGACAGATGACACTAGTTAGTAAAATACCGTTGTAGATATTTCTACTTAAAATTATCTCAAGGATAACTATCAAACAGTTGTTTGAGACCAAACGGAAATAAGACATTTCGCACCACCAGTGTTTTATCTAGGTTTTTTCTTTCGAGAGTGCGATAGCGATTTCCGTCAGGGCGAAAACTGAATTTCTGGAGGTAAACTCGTAGTATAAGCACAAAAACTGCAATTTTCGGGAGGGCTCCGCCATCCGTGCCCTCTCTCTAGATAAATCACTGCGCACCACCTTTTCATTACGATCTCTCTACATAAGGAAAAAAAACAGGATGTTCCGAATGAAAATTGTCTAGGACAAAAATCATATCCGGAGTGACTTGGTGCGAAATGCCTATGTTCCGATAAAATCATATTTATTCAATAAAGATTGAAAAAGTACATAAAGAATATGTGATTAATTTCATTCAGATAAAAGTCTCTCATCTTAGTTCATTTATTAATATAAAAGAAAAAACAAATATATATACATATAGTTAAGTAACAACGAGATGTTGATTTTTCTTAAATTCTTTCAACCATATATGATGAAAGACTGGTGGAAGCCAACGAAGATAAAGTTGTTCATCCATTTGTATATAACCAACAATACGTGTTAGTTTTATTGGATTATTCATTGTATTGATTAAAATTTTATCAGTACGTTCAGTTAAATTTGAATTTGCTTTCTTTTTCTCACTAACATATAAACATAAATGTGCACCGAAATTTTCAAATAATGGATTAATTAATGAAAGTTTTTTTTGAGCTAATGAATAAAAATTATTCATAAAAAAATATAAATATTTTAAATTAATATCTGTTTTCTTTGCTAAAACACCAATTCGTGGTGTTGAAGCTAAAAAAACAAGTGTAAATTTTGATGTATTAAATTGATGAAGTGGAATGTAATATGAAACAGGATCATCAAAACATAGATATGCCATTGATATACATCTATCTCGATATTGATTATATTTTTGTTTTAAGAAAATTAAATCTTCTTCCAATTGTTCTAAATAATCTGTTGAAGATGACCAAATATTATTACATGATTCTGATGTAATCTAATAGAACAACAAATAAATTAAAGAAAATCTAACAAATTAATTACCATTAGTTTTGCATCTTGACAATAAGCTTTTTTTGGTACATATAAATGTGCATGAAAATATTTTATATTTTTTTGATACCATTTACCTCGATGAAATGATAGAATAGTATTATTATCATAGTGTGGTTTTGAAATAAGAAATTCACTAGTAAGTTGCATAATTTCTTGTATATCATTGTCAGTTGCATGTAATCTACGATTTTGTGTATGTTGAATTATAATAAAATGTGGACGTGGTGTATGAATATCAAATACAAGTTTTAATGAAGGATTCGAAGGATTAATAGGAATTTCAACGTTTTGTCTAAGCATGATTATTTATTTTAGATGAAAAATAGTATTTCGAAAAAGACGATTATGTAATATATTTCTTAAGCGAATAGTTTATACGCAAAACAATGAATAACAGAATACGATGAAATGAATGATATAGCTGATAAAAATAGATAGACATTAGTAGTTTATTCTTTTGGATAGATTCAACTTGAATAGAAATGTATGCAATCAAAATTTCAGTTCTTTACTGATTACTCTGAAAGAATAAAATTGATTCAATTTCGATTTGGAAATCAAATCCAGAGTTAAATCTATATATTGACTTGAGATTGATTATCAGTATAAGAAACAAATATTTATTTAACCTTATAGTTCGTTTTATGAATCAATAAATAATACTTATTATAGATGTATTTTAACACATGCCTCAATTTATAATCTTTTGATTACAGTTTTATCCTTTATTATTATCTATTTGTAGTTTGAAGTCCTTGAAATACGCAGTTACTTAATAATCATCGTATCTATTAGAATAGTACGTAATTCAATAGTTGATATAGAATTATACCAATTTCATATGTGTATAAAGTCTTATTGATTTCAAAATAGAAATTAAATTTTTCAAAATTTATTCATATTAAATTCTTAATTAATGAAACGAAAAAAAAACTGGTTATATAATGGAACGCATTCTAAACAAGTAAATACACACACAAAAAAAAAAGAGGAAAAGTTCAATTCATTGTTTTTTACAATTGTCTGGAAAGTACAGTTTGTTGAAGAATATTAACTGGTATTGGTTTGATAATTGGTTCAATTATTAATTGAGGTTTCATTTCACTTGCAATTTCTTTTAAAACTTTACCCAATGCAGTAATAACAACATCAACTTGTTCTAATGTTATAGTTAATGGTGGTTCAATACGTATTGTTTTAGCATTAACTAATGTGCCAGCAACAAGAACTCTTTCTTTAAATAAACCTTTTGATACACGAAAACCGACATCTGTATCAGCAAATTCTATTGCCATCATTAAACCTTTACCACGTGCATCAATTGTTAAATGTGGTGTATAAGGTTTAATAGTTGATTTAACTTTAGCTAAAAATATATCACCAATAGTTCGAGCACGTTCACAAAGACGTTCTTCAAGTATAACATTTATTGTTGCTATTGCAGCTGCACATGCTAATGGATTACCACCAAATGTTGTTGTATGTAAAAATGGATTTGAAAATATAGGTGACCATAGTTTTTCTGTTCCAATAAAGGCACCTTGAAAAAAACGAAAATGAATTGAAAAAGATTTTTTTTTATATTAATTTACCTGCGGGCATAACTCCACCACCAAAAGCTTTTCCCAAACATAATATATCTGGTTCAACATTCCAATGTTCAACACAAAACATTTTTCCTGTTCTTCCCATACCAGTTTGAACTTCATCCGCAATTAAAAGTGCACCATATTTATCACACAAACGACGAACACCTGGAAAATATTCATCACCTGGTACAATTATTCCACCTTCACCAAGTATCGGTTCAAGTAAAACAGCAGCTACAAAAGTGTAAATTTTGTAAAATAATTATTAATAAAATTTAAGAAATCTTACCAGCATCATCTCCGGTATATTGTAGACAAGATAATGTTTGTTCGAGTGCATGTAAGTCATTGAATGGAATATGACGCATACTATGCAATGATGGTAAGAATGGTTTTCGAAAAACCGCTCTAAAATCAAAAGAAATATATTTAATTTTAATTTTAGTATTTTTTTTCGATTACATACTTGGAAGTTGCGCTTAATGCTCCTAAACTTTTACCATGAAAACCTCCAACAGCTGCAATAACTGTTCGACGGCCAGTTGCAAGCATTGCCATTTTTAATGCACCTTCAACTGATTCTGTTCCACTGTTAGTAAAAAATGCATATTTTAAATTTCCCGGTGCTAATTCAGCTAAAATTTTTGCCAAATAACCACGTAATGGATCAAGTAGTTCTTGTGAATGGAGTGCTTGACGATTCAATTGATCAGTAACTGCTTTTACTACTTTTGGATGACGATGACCGACACTAAAATATAATTTCAAAACAAAAATTAGAAGAAAATTTTATTTTATTTTTAGTACTTACTTATAAATGCCATATCCACCTAAACAATCAATATATTCAATACCCTTCACACATGTAAATGTGTTACCACTGTCAGCCCATTCAACTAAATTGAATAATATAAATTTCTACACAAAAAAATATGACTTTAAATAAAACTTACCGGCGACATAGTCAGGTGAGAATGATTTACGATATTTTAAGAAACCTGGATTAATATACTCATTGAAATTATCCACAGTTTCATTGATTAATTGTTTCTTTTCTATGAAAAAAAAAGAAATCAATTGATTAGTAAAAGAAAAAATTGAAATCTTACCATCATCATCTAAATCGCGTTTAGCGATAAGATTAAGTATGCTTTGTGTTTGTTGAATCATATCACTCTTCATTGTTTAATGATCAAATCTTGGATCACGAAAATATATTGATGTATTGAACTTAAGACGTTGTCTTCTATAATTACGAAATGTAACACCACCTGTCGTTGATTGAGTTTTATTGTAAAGGGGTTCGGTATAAACTTCCACCATTAAGCTTCAAACGCTTCGTCAAAATCTCTTCCCGGTCGATTTTTGTTTGCTGACTGAGAGACGAAGATGGAGAATTGAATACTGTATGAATCAATTGTTTAATTCTTGACTTTATATATCCACTTTAAGATAAGAAAGAAATAGAGAGAAAGAGAGAACAAAAGAACTATCTTCGAATATTTGCATAGAGAAAAATTATTGTGTGAAGAATAACACCTGGATAAAATGAAAGAGAATGATGGGGCTATAGCCCTATTAGACACACCCATTTTGATAGAGCGAATAAGAGAAATAGATAAGTGCCCTGTAGAGAAAAAGAAATATAGCTTTGATATCAATTTCTCTCTATCTCTCCCACGCACATGAATTTCTGACGATGCATATCTATCGAAAAAGCTCGAACGACGTGGTTGTTTCTGATTTGATGCTCAATTTATCGACTTTTAAGTCCAAGATTGATATCTGAGAATTTGAGTTTCTTTTTTTAAACCGTTTTTTTCTTTTGTACCCAAAAAAAAAGATATCAATAGCAAGCAAGAACTCAACTAAATAAATGTAAGTATAAAGTACACGGAACATGATTTTATATTGTGCTTTATAACTCAATTTTATTTAGTTGAGTGCTTGCACTTTAAAAGAAAGAGAACACATTTATCATTTAGTGTTCGAATCCTACTTTCATCATTCTTTCCTTTTTTTATTTCTATAAGTATTTGTATCCAATGAGTATGATGCAATTCCATATTCAAAAAAGAGAATTTATTTTCTTCAATATTATATAAATGACTGTTTATGCAAATATTTACAAAAAGTTTATCCGAAAAGATAAAAGTTCAAGTGTATACATTTTTTTATGTATTAACAAAAATTGTCTATAAATTTCGAGGAAAAATGTCATATAGGGTTATTATCGATTATGAGTAATTATTTGTTAGCTCTGACAATACATCGATAAAATATATCACATGATCGACAATATCGACGATGTAAAAAAAAAGGGCAAATAATCACGAGATAACGACAATGATGATGCAAATCACGAGCAAACGAAAAAAAAATTATATTGCAGCATTTCTTTATTTATCATTGATTTACTCAATAATCATTATTGCCTAAGCTTAAGATAAAAATAAATTTATAAAGAACGCAATAGCATAAGTCACACCGTTATGTGACCAGCTACGTGTGTTATAACTCGTGACTGGTCTCCTTGTAATGTCTAAAGATAGTTAGATATTTAAAAAAAAAACCCAAATATACTAATGATATTAATTTTAACTCGGCAATCTATTTTAAATCTTCGATATTTTTAGCTGAAAAAAAATAATCCTATCAAGATTTTTATAGAATTAAGATATATTTGATAAAAATTTGATTTTCTCAGACAAATGCCTCGTTTTTAGTGTCAAAGTAAGATAAATCTTACTATTCCAACTCGTCATCTAGAATTATCATCATCGAAAATCAATTCTGTTAGAAGGATTCGAACTTTAACACTATCATTCATGAATTCGTATATTTAAACCATTGTACTAAAACAGATTTTTTATTCAAATACGAATTTTCTAGAACAAAATGAAATAAAACAATGTATTGTCTTTATTGAATGCTAACATAACGGAGTAACACGTGTCTGAAAAAGTGTTGAAGACAAGATAACAGACGTGCAGAATCTTCCCCGCGCGGGGAGGGAAATTTTTGATTTTTGGGAAGATTCTGCACCTCTGCAAGATAACAATATAATTATTGAGTAAACATAGTTGAGCCGTAACAACTCATTAAGATATGAAAACGCTCGGTTTCTCTCATTGTATTTACTGGAAAAAATGGAAGTTGTTCTATGATTCATTCTGTTTAATTAAAGATTTTTTACACTGATTCACGTCTGGTTTTTAATTCTTTACATTACTATACAAACTGAACTGAAGAGAAGTCTTGAAAAAAAAACTATTAAAAAATTCTCTAACCAATTGAAACTATGTTCGATAGATATCGTTTATTTTTTAATTGAATCTTTTTTCGATAAAAATCATATAATTCCTTGTAAAAATTTGATTTATATTCATTGAAAACAATCGCCATCAAATCACAGTATCTACTTAAATATTCTATCCAATCAAAATCATACAAATCTATTATTTTAATTTATATTTAAAAGATTTTTAAAAAAATAAAATTCTGTTTTGAGATGTATGTCAATGTCATTATTTTCTTTCTTGTGATTCTTGTTGTTAATCATACATATGAAGCGGATTCCAATCCTTTTGAAGTTCGTGAACATAGTCTTACTCGTCCATATCCAACCGGTATATTCTATATATTTGAAAAATAATTTTTATTATTTATTCTTTATATAGTTTTTTCTACTTCAAATTCATATTGGCGTTTAACTGGTAGTACAATAGCTACTGATCGATATATTCGTTTAACATCCGATGCACAAAGTAAAGCTGGAGGTTTATGGAGTAGCATCCCGGTTAATTATGCTGACTGGGAAATTCATGTTCAATTTCGAGTGTTTGGAGAAGGAGTAGGATATTTTGGTGATGGATTTGCTATCTGGTATGCAAGAGATCCAAATGTAGACGGTAAAAAACGATTAGCTAAGAATTAGTTGATTTAAATAGTGTAGATATAAATTGATAGGTCCTGTTTTTGGTTATAAAGATTACTTTCATGGATTAGCTATTGTAATGGATACATATGGTAATTATGTTGGACCTCGTGAAGTAATCATTTTTTGATTTTGTAAATACTTTTAAGTATAAAATATCTATTTAGCATGTTTATCCATATATATCAGCTATAGTAAATAATGGTTCACTTCATTATGATCATGATCGTGATGGTACAGATATTAATATCTCTGGATGTGAATCATCATTTCGTGGACTTACTACAGATACAGTTGTTGCTATACGATATGAAAATAATCGTTTAACTGTATCTACTGATACTGAAGGAACAAATACTTGGACACCATGTTTCACAATCAATAAAATTCATTTACCAACAAATTTTTATTTTGGTTTTACTGCAGCAACTGGTCAATTGAGTGATAATCATGATATTATATCTGTTCGTACATATCGATTAGATTCTAATGAACAACGACAAGAAGAAAATCGTAACCATATAGTACCATCTGGTCCTATACCTATGGTTAGTCAAGCAAATGATACTATGTCACAAACAACAAGTTGGTCAGCATTAAAAATATTTTTTTACACTATCCTTATGATTTTAATCTGTATAACTGGACTTGCTTCATATTTTTATATGAAACATTATCGTTATCGTAAACCAAGATTCTATTAGACTTATCTATTCAATGAACAATATGAGATACTTTTTATTTATTTAGGTGAATCAGTATATGCATTAAATTTTTCTGTGATAAATTCAGTCTTTTATTTGTTATATTTTATCATAAAACTTTGTTTTTTTTGTTTTTGTGTTACAATCTCAAAATATAAATCTTCAATAAACAAGAAATTAAACCTCTTTTACAATGAAAAAAGAACTAAATATGATTCGTCGCTTGTGGTTAATATCCTCTCGATAAAATACTTTCTTTAGTTTTATCCAAAGAATCTTACTACATTCCTGATTGTATGCGACTCCGCAACGTTGTAGTAAATACGATAGTTGTTCGAGAAGGAGGAGAATAACAAAATATGATGGTAGTTAAAGAAA